GAAAGAGCCATTTCCTCCTGGTACCTGGTTGGATGTTGAGGTGGGGAAAATGAGCTCTCCCCAGGGGCAAGCTGTGTCAAGACAAACACCACATCGCTGAGAAGTGGCTGTGACAAAAAGAGTGAAACTTGGCAATTGTTCTCTGGCTCCTCTTCCCCTCAGTGTGTTGCAAGGACATGTTTTGTTTCCTCATTATTATCTTCTGCTTGGCCAGCACAGGAGTGTGGGAGGCAATAACCTCTCTCAGTGAGAGGCTGCAGTGGAGCTTGTTTAACCTGGAGCATGTTTGCTATAAAACCCACTCAGACACTGCCCTGCTGCTCGAGGAGGCTGTCAGAAATGAGTCCTCCAAACCATTTGTGTCTGTCACAGTTTCTATATGATGTGAAAGGCAACTTGACTTGCTCTTTAAGTGGAACTGCTTCCAGCTTGAGGCAGGGAGTCTGTTAACAACAAGGGGTTAGCTCTGTGCTGTGGCCGAGGCTGAGGGTGCATGTTCATTCACTGAAAGCATGGCGAGCTTTGTACCCTGCCAGGTCAGAGTTATACATGCAAGGATATATAATAGCACTGTCATACACATTAAATTACAGGATCAAAACATGAAGCCTTTAGGAAGTCTCAGCATTGCTGTTAATGCTGTTGTGGTTAACCTCAGCAATCAGCCCGTGCAGTGTTTGCTGTACAAATACACAACATGATAGACAGCAATTTTGTCGCTTATGTTTTAGGCTGTTATATGCTCAGCTGAGCTTAGATGGGTCCTACCATCAGATCCGGAAGGCTGTGGCTTTTGCATAATTTGTAATTATTCATCTTTATTTTTATATAAGTTGCTATCTAAAAAACTAACCCGTAGAAGTTTTGGGTTTGCTCTAATGAGATATTATTAACTGGAAAATCTTCTTATATTGCACTTCTCCTTTTCATTATGGAGTCTAGGAAGAGGGACCTCTGTTGTACTTCGCTTTGAACACCGAGGGTACCAGCCTGGCACAGCCAATTTGTGCTGCTTTTTTACTCAGGGATCTCCCCTTGAAATCCCACCTGAATCCATTCCAAAGTAGAGCTTTACCAGGAAATGCAGAATTAAGGAGGCGTTTTATAGGGCATCACTGGGAGGGAAAGCTTTGAATGGTTGAATATCTGGACTGGGGTAAACGCTACAAACTCCCTTCACTTCAAGTATCTTCTCTCTTATCTCTTGTACAGTATCTGCATGTGCATGTTGCTTGCAGAATAAAGAGAGCAACAAAGAAGTAGTTTAATTTCTTGCATTTGGAACTGTGTGCACTTCTCCTCACCAGCTCGGTCTGGTCTGACACTTCTCGACAGTATTCTTGGCCAAAGTGACTTCATTTGTATGGGGAGGTTGATAAAATGTTTTTTGAAATTCAGATCTGTGAGAACCAGAGTTTCTCACCATGAAGTTAAGTCTTATCTCTGAAAAAGAATTCCTGTAACACAAACTAAAAGCTCTTTGGGGCTGTTTTCAGAACTGACAAACTGCTTTTTACTTTCACTGTCTATCAAAGGGGTTTGAACCATCACAGGTCTTCTCTGCACACTACCAGGGTGTAAATAATAGCAACTTTTTATGGACATTGTTCTCTGGACTTGAAACAACTGGTGTAGAAACCCTGGAATTCAAAGCTCCAGGTGGTAACAAACCATCCCAGAGCAGACTGTGATTTTCCTCCATTTCAGTAAAAGGAAGAGCAGCAATTGAAAAGGACAGTGAACATCTGAATGCTTTTTCCCTCTCAGATTATCCCAACTCCACACCATTCCGTGTCTTCTTGTCCTGACTCTTAACCTTCTGATCACGTTTGTTTGCATCCCTGACCTCATCTGAATGCCTCACTCAATGCAAATTATAGTCTTGCATCCTCCAGGGGATAATGCATTTCAAAGTGGGTATAGAGGAAAGATTTCCTATTTAAAACTGTACCTGAAGGGCTTCAGCACCACTGCTGAGACATTTTCTTTTATTACTTGTATTGCAGCAGTGCCCAGAATGTGTTATATGTTGTACCCAAAGATGTGGTCTGGTGTTAGAGCAGTGTGATTAGGTGATTAGAGCTTTTCTGTCCATGATACAGCCCAAGTCCAACTCTGACTCATTGCTAATTTGCTGTAGATGCTGTGGTAAAAGAGAGCCATAGGCAGGAATATCAATGAGCATGTGTAGTTGTGGCAGGTCAGCTCAGGAAGGGAAAGAAAAAGCCCTGTGGAAGTCCTTGTGGGAGAAGCAGCTGATCCAGGTATTGAAGGTGGCATTTACTGATAGAGTGGAGAAGGTAATACGGGATTACTGGTGTCATTGCTTGTGAGGGTAAGGACCCTGAAATCTGTTCCTCTGGTGGGAACTGTAGAGGAGTTACTGAGGATGAAGAGGCACAACTCAGATTATCTTTACCTTTGCTGTTCTGGAAATGACTAACATGGGTGTTTAGGAGAAGGGTTCCCAGAATCAAGGTGTGTGGAAAAGAGGTCACATCACTGAGGCAAGGAGAAAGACCTTGCTGCTTTGGAGAAGAAACAGCAGGGATTTGCCAAGAACTGGCTAAGGGGAGGATGTAAAGGTTGCCCAAGTGAATTTCTGCTGTCAGGTTTCAGGGTTGTGCACACTGCAGATGTACACACAAAGATAGACGATGGAGAGAGAAAAAGAGTGAGAAAGAGGGAAGGGAATCACCATGAGACCTGGTGCAAACAAGTGAGCCTCTGCCCAACACCCAGCACCTTCTGGGTTATTTTTTACCTCCAACTGTTCCTGATTTCAAGTGCACACACTGCAAAGCTGCGAGGAGCAGGTGGTGGTTGTTGCTTATTTGTTAGCTTGCTTTGTCTCATCTTTGCAATCCATTTTTGTTAATACAGCTCCTTTTCTGAGGGCTTTAAAGATCCCTCGGTGTAGTTATCTTCTGTGACAGAGGGAGCTGGGGCTGCTGAGCGTGCTGTGCTTTGTGCACTGGCTACAGAGGGAATTCTTTGGGATGCAGTTTACTGTGGGTTTTACTCTAATCACTTTAACAAGCCTGAGCAAAGAAACAAAAGGAACAAAACCAAGAAAGAGAATTTCCATTAAAATGGCATTTCCTAAGGTAGGATTAAGCTTTCAAGGCTGCCTGCTACTAGATGCAGAAATGCTTCCTATAGCCCTTTGTAGGACAGAGCTGAGTAACCAATTTTGGGTTTGGTTTTAAAAAGCTGTTAAAAATAAATCAAGGTAGATGAGAAGCTGTTCACCTGTATAGTGAGCCCTAGTAAATAAGCTGCTGCAACAAGAGCTATGTTTGTTGGGGACCTTGCCTGTGCCTTTCTGATAAATTCCAGTTTTGCATTCACACTGGGTTTTTGGTCTCCATCTTAGAGTAAAATTTACCATGGGTATTGGGGGAAGACTACCAGTGGACAATTCTTGACATGAATGCTATAGCACTAACTGTAAGCTGAAGATAAATACAATCAAAGATAACTTGTAATGATTTGTGACTTCTCTGGTTTCATAATTCAGTAAAAGCAACAGGGTATTCATTGGCTATGTGCAGAGCCCTGTGCCTTGGTGCCTGTGTTTCCTCACAAAGATCACATGTTTATGGAGGAACAAACCAGTTAATTCCAGAAACCTGAATCCTTAGCAAAGTCATGCGTTTCTGTTACAGCTTGAAATGTGTATAGGTTCTGTGGTCAGGAGGAAGCACTGAATTCCAGCATCTTTCCTCCAGCCCTCAGCCCTCCAGAATCGTCACCTTCTTTGAAAGCTCTCTTCTTTCTGGGACCAGTTCTTTTTTTTTGGGAACACCTCTTTTCAGCACCACCTTTCTTTCTGGAGCCCCAAGCCCCTGGTTTTCCCTATCTAAATAGTCAAAATCATGGATCAGCTTGTGATCAGTTCCTTAAGCAGTGATTCTGTCTCATGTCTCTCTGTGTTTGGAGGATTCAAGATGTTCCCCTTTTGGTTTAGTGCAGGTCTTACCAAAACTTACAGACATGCTCATGCTCTGCTTGCAATAAGCAAGTAGCATCTTCTGCTTGGGAGTTCAAAACTTCACTTTCAGACATCCACCACATGCATATACACAATTATCGGCCATGTGTTCACAATTTAAACTACTTTTTGCCTCCAGAAGGTAGCAAATGGATGCAAGAGCATTCCCTGGCTAGTTGAATGCCTTTCAAACACTCCCCTTGCACCACCCTTCCAGTTGATGCTTTATGCTTTGTATCTAAGAAACTTCCCCATCTGTTTCCTACAGATAGATGCAGTCTCTATTTCAGATGTCCTTCCAAGGTAACTACTGACCCATCATTTCTTTAAAGCTGATGCAGTCTTCTAAGCTCCTTTGATTGTTTCTAAGTTCCCAAGTATTGAATAATGTGTCCCACTCTGGAATGCTCAGAGGTTTTTCTCTTAAGAAGTCAGCATGGAAACATTCCTTAGCTCAGAAAGCAGTGGTGTGTATCGCTTGTGTTTGGGTGGTGCTCATTGTGTGTGAGAGTCACGCAAAGAAGAAATGGTCCTTCCCTTGAAGAGCTTCCAATTGTCAGCCTTTTCTCAGCAGGGGCAAGCACAATCTGTTGCATTGCAAGCGAGGAGCGATTAAACTCAGCTGTCCATATGCTCTGCCAGAATTGATTGTGCTGCTCAGAAATCAGAATCTTTTAAGGTTGATAGACATGAAGAAAAAAAAGACACTTTAAGTGTATGCCAACCTCATCTATGGGTTTTGGCAGCTTTGTTTTCAAATGCGTTAAACAGGAGGAGCCTACGAGGATGTGAAAGCAGTTGAAAATCCTTGATAGTGCTTGCTGGCATTGTATCCTGACAGTCACTGCCTCCTTGGGACGTGTGAACTTCTTTAACTTCATTACTGATGTACATAAACATATTCACAACAGCTGAAACTATTCCCTTTGCTACCAGTTCTACCTTCTGATTAGAAATACCTGCAGTAGATGAATAGATCTTAAATGGAGTCGTTAAGGACTGAATGTTTCATCAAATGTAAAGCAGTCCACATCGTTTTAAGTACTTTATTCTTACCTGTGGGCCTGTGAAAGTGAGTTGAGTGGAAAGAAAAGCTTTTATAGCTCCTGGAGAAAGACATCCCTGAATTGGGACTGCACAGTTTTCAAACAACCAGGAGGAGAGACGCCAGGGTAAGTTCAGGCCTTTTCAAGGTGCTGTCACTGGCAGCTTTCATTGTTCTTCTAAACAACTCCTCTTCTAAAGGAAAAGTTTCTGGTTTTCAGAGATTAAAGCAGTCCTGTCTTCATTCATTGCTTCGTCACTTGACTGATTCTTCCCTAATGGGGAAAGTACTTAGGAAGTTTTTGAGCTGCAATTTCAACATGTAGCCCAACATACTGACTGTTTGCCGATAATGTAGTTTGAAAAATGACACAATCCATCAGAGCAGTTATCTCCTCAGGGTGGTTTTTGCAAGCTGGGAGATACAACAGGGAAGGAAGGAAGGAAAGCAGCAGCATCTGACTTGAGCTTGTTCTTCTGTTCTAGATGGCAAATCGGCTCCGTGTCAAACTCTCTTTTCCATAGTCCTTTGTCAGAAAGTTCTTTGATCATCGGAGTGTCCCATGTCCCAGAGCGTTTAGAGCATACTGCACTGGGACAACATTTATGTCTTGCGTCTGTGGTGGCTGTCTCACGTAATGGCTCTGCAGTGGGGACACAAGTGGTGGGGTGACTCTTCGCAGTGGTATGCAAGAGAGTTTTCCTCATGCAGACCCTGGGGCACATGTCTGGAAGGCTGAGGATAATGCATCAAAACAACGTTATTTCACAAACTAGAACATATTAACATGGTGAGTCAACAAATCATCTCTCTAAAATGTCCGATGCCCTTCTGAGAGCACGGAAACAGTTTTGCTGCCTTAAGCACCAAATCAGTTAGTTAGCATCTTGCTTTCCAGAAATGAATAATTCACTCTTCTACTAAGTGTCAGCCTGACTTGGTTGCAATCAATCAAGGTATTTATTGCTTCCTCCTAAATTGAAGGTCTTTGTACATTTTTCTGACAAATCTGCACTACCAGCTCAGTGTTATTCCTTGAAAGAAGAATCAATGAGCACCAGCAGTTCTCTGTAGCGCAAGTTATTTACTTTTCAGCATCTCTACAATTTCCATGTTTTAAAGTATTGGGAAAAATAGGGGTACAGAGGGGGTGATGCTGAGAAACTAGCAGTAGCATGTCATCTGCACTGCTTGAGACACTGGCCATGATGTGCTGTGAGCAGAACATTCTACTGAATGAACCAGGGACAGGGTGGCTTTCCAATAGAGGGACTGTCTATAGATCATATATTGATTGCATCTCCCAAATGTCTCATAGTTCTGTATAAAGACACAATGAGCTTAAACTGATTTAGTCAATTCTTACATTCAGGCCACGTTTCCAAGCCTGAAGCACACTTTCCATGCTTCTTGGAGAAATCAGGGATACACTCCTATGTGCTGCAAGATGCTTTTTAACTCTGCTAAGCAATACCTCCTGCCATGTGTTGGTTCATCACAGAAGCAGCATCTGGATCTGCTCTTGGACAGTTGCACCAGCTCCTATTCAAAGAGTGTCCATCTCTTCTGTACCACACCTTTCAAATGCCTCTGTTTGGTGGCACTGGGCCTTCTTCATCAGTAGCCCCAGATTAGAAATTATTTTCTAAATGAGGAAATCTGGTTTAGATCTTCTCACCCAACATCCAAACCATCATTTTCCAGGCTTCTGTTGCAGAGCTGAAAGGGCAGAATTCTGATAAGACTTAGTTTATTGTGGAAGGAAGAGCAGCTGACAGAGAAAAGCAGCTATTTATGTTTTCCAGAGCTAAAGGGATTCCAGAACACTGTTTGCTTTCTCCAGTGCCTGGTTTCTTACCAGCATTAGGGTTTCATTTCCTTCAAATGCTAGTGAGGTTTGAATGCTGCTTTCCAGCCATGACTCCTCCTAGAGCCAACCAAAGTCACTCCCAACCTTCAGAAACTTGGAAGAACACTCCAGATAATTGAAGTTGTGATTCTATTTTGGATGTCTGGTATCCCATACACCTGCGACTGTTCCCTTCCATCAGAAACTGGCTCTGGTCTGCATCTATTTGGAAATCCATAGAATGGCAATAAGTTTCCCAGAGCCTTGAACTGGAGACTGCATCTTTCCATACCTCTGCTCCCCTCACATAGAATCGTAGAATGGTTTGGGTTGGAAAGGACCTTAAGATCATCTATTTCCAACCACCTGCCATGGGCAGGGACACCTCACACTAAACCATGGCACCCAAGGCTCTGTCCAACCTGCTTGAACACTTCCAGGGATGGAGCGTTTACAACTTCCCTGGGCAGCCCATTCCAGTGCCTCACCACCCTCACAGTAAAGAACTTCTTCCTTATATCTAACCTGAACTTTCTCTGTTTAAGTTTAAACCCATCATCCCTTGTCCTATCACTACAGTCCCTAATGAAGAGTCCCTCCCCAGCATCCCTATAGGCCCCCTTCAGATACTGGAAGGCTGCTATGAGGTCTCCACGCAGCCTTCTCTTCTCCAGGCTGAACAGCCCCAACTTTCTCAACCTGTCTTCGTATGGGAGATGCTCCAGCCCCCTGATTGTCCTCATACCATCAGCCCTTATTGTCTCTTTTTAGGTTTTTTGATGGTAGTTTGTTGTGGAGTTGTACAGGATCTCTCACTCCAGGATCCCTGTCTCACTTGGTTTCTTTTACATGTTTCTATAATATAAACCAGCAGCACTAATATTTTAGCTGTAGGGAGAAATGTACTGGTTTGATGTGTGCTGTGTAGAATAAAGAGAAAGCTACTGCCCCTAGCCCCAGTATGTGAGTGGCATAGCAAATATGTTAGTGATCTCCCAGAAATGCTAAATGAGATGGATTCAGCCACAGCCTTCATCTCACAGTGAGCTTTTAAGAGAATCTCCTGTCTCAGTTTAGCTACAGACTGACGTGCTCAGGAGCCTTGGTGAGTCCTGAAAATAAGACTTGAGTCTTAGTGCTGAGGTTTAGAGCATGATTTTTCAAGGAGATGTGTTATATAAAAGGAGAGGATAAATGGACTGAAAGAGCTATAATAGCCAGAGCAATGCAGCTTCATGGCAGGGCTTTATAGAAAGGCCAGAGAGGTGTTTTAAAGGAGTAAATAACCTGCAAAATAAACAGCCTAGTGCAGTGTGGGTTAAAGCAGCCCTGGCAAGAAGGCAGCAGCAGGCTCCAGGTTTGCATGGCTTTCCTCCACACTCAGATCCTTCTGCTGCCTCATGCCTTGCGTGAGTGCCTGCTGTGATGGTGCAGGATGGAGCTGCACCAAGGAGAACTGATCCCTGCCTGACCTTGGTGCTGCAGCCAGTGAGGGAGACGGGGCCAGAGCTTCATGGCTTGTCAGAAATACCGTGGTGCATGATTGTGCAGCTCTGATTTTCAGGGCATCACTTGCCAGCCAGTGTAAACCCCTCAAAAACTTTGGGGTTGAATCTCTCCCCTTGAAAAGCAAACACAAGAGTGAGGAGCGCCCTAACCTGTCTGGGAGACTTCTGACACGCAAGTAGCACAAGGATTTAGATAGCTGGATGCAGAAACAGGCTTGTAAATGCCAGTGTGTTGCTGGGGAGAATATATCTAATAAGCTGTCTTCATTCTCCCTCTGTTCAACATCTCCAGGATGCTGCTTGTGGTCCCAGTCCTTCAATTCTCTCCTAAATTTCTCGTGGCCAAGGCTGTCAGTGGGATTATTTCTTTTCTTGGTCCTAATGTCCTGTCTGTCAGGTCCAGGTTGCTTGTCTCAACCTTCCCATGGAAATGAGGTCACAAAAGCCCATTGCTGTGGGATTGCAGAATAGCACTGGCCCTCAGGATGTTCCTTAAGGTCTCCTGAGTACCACAAGGCATGGGCAGTATGAGAATGTGCATTACCTGCTTGGTATATGGCTGAGGGCTGGAAGACCATGTACTCTGACCGTGGGGAATGCAGACAGCTAGGCAGGGTATCCAACATTTCCATGCCTGACTTTCCCAAGTTCTCTGGAGTGAGCTACCTGGCTGGACCAGGGCAGCCCATTAGGGGTCCCTGTGTCTTCCTGTGTTCAGGGGTGCCTCCCACCCCTTCTTGACCCGGGACATATACAGATATGCACTCCCTTTGTTTCTAACTTGTACTTACACCATGAAGTAGTGACTGCCTCTTCCACCAACATGGGCACGAGTGGTTAAACTGATTTCTCCCAGTTTTTCATAACGTAGTGATTTCTTAGTGTAGTTAGGAGAAACAACTGTACCCCCACTCCCACCCCCTTTTTTTTGCCTTTGGGAAACACAGCAGTGAGAGCATCTGCTGGTTTCTAGGCACATTCCATACCAGTTCTTATTGAACACAACTAGATGCATCATGCCAAATTGGTTATAATCAGAAATTAAAGCTGGCCACTCCCAGCCCCTCTGATCTCTGAGGACTGGCTGCATCACAAGGAGGGGGTTTGATTTTGTGCCAGATGTCTATACTTGAAACACAACAACCTGCATCTCTGCGGGTGAGGGCACCTCTTCCTGCTGCTTGCTGCCTGGCTAACTAGAAAGTGAGGTTTTAAAGGAGAATTTCAGTATGGTTCCAGGAGAGCACTGGAACACTTGTGAGATGTGGCAAACATTGCATGTGAACATCAAAAAGCACCCAGCTGTCCTTATCCACTGTCCATTCAGCCCGTAAGAGCATCTCTGGCCACAGTGATGGAAGATCTCTTTTCGGAGAGTCCACACACTCCAGAGCCCTCTCAAAGCAGCCAGAGATGCTGGAGAATGCACCCCTGCCCTCCCTTGGCAGGATTCAGTTGTGGAGCTGTTGTCAATGAATCTGCCAAACCCATGTTTGAACCAGTGCTGTGTCTGCTGTCAGGCAGTTCCCTCCCACTGTAGGCAGAGGTGCTTTATCCAGTGTGGACAGAGTGTTTTCCGTGAAAGGTGTTGGGAATGGGATCTTCCTGGGGTCTCTCACCAGCAATGACCAACAGGTCAGGATGCAGTTGCTCAGCCTCTGCTTTGATTTGCATGAAAAAACCAACCCACATAAAGTTCTAGCACATCCTTAATGAAAATGAAATGATAAAATTGGGATAATACCCACCTCCTGCTGCTCTTGATGGTTAATTAATGTTTACAAATCACTTTAGGTCCTGAGATTTAATTGAAGGCAAAATATTAGCATGTACAATACCTTTTTCTGCAGGCGGTGCTGTTGGGTTTCACTGGGCACAGTGCCGTGGAAGCCAGCATTAGCACAAGCTTTACTGCTTCTGTGCTCGTGAGGCTTCCTGTGGTTTGTATGGAAATTGTCTCTCTGAAATCATAAATGTAACATCAGTGTTTTCCTCTCGCTTTGAGAGAGTATTAATTTGCTAGCTTAGGATTTGACTGACTATTTAAACTGCTATAAATAAAACTCACCTCTGAGAAGAAAGCATCAAATTCACATTTACTATGTGCTCACTTGCTTGGGATGAGCTGATACAACTTGCTAATGACTCTACCATTGGATGTTGTTGGCTTGTAGTAAATTAGGCTAGTACTGGGTGTCCTGCTGCAATTGAAGGGTGTATCTGTGTGCTCATTATAATCTCCTGCTATCAAGAGATGTAAAATGCAGCTATAAACTTTCATTTCTGGAGGTAAATTTAACTGTGGAGGTGGCAGCAAGGGAGCAAGCTCTGCTGAGTGGGGGTTTTGGTGGTGGTTTTTGGCTGGTTTCTTTTTTATGAAGAGTAGCAAGAGAATGAGAAGCAATACTGGGTTTGGCTGGCTTCAGCTGCTGGAATAAAACACTATCACTGCATAAATGTTCCGTTTTCTGCTGTAACACTTTCTGTCTTCACACAAAGAGTGGCACAGGTTAGAATTATAGAATCACAGAATAGTTAGGGTTGGAAGGGACCCTAAGATCATCAAGTTCCAACCCCCCTGCCATGGGCAGGGACACCTCACACTAAACCATGGCACCCAAGGCTCTGTCCAACCTGGCCTTGAACACTGCCAGGGATGGAGCATTCACAACCTCCCTGGGCAACCCATTCCAGTGCCTCACCACCCTTACAATAAAGAATTTCCTCCTTATATCCAATCTAAACTTCCCCTGTTTAAGTTTTAACCCATTACCCCTTGTCCTATCACTACAGTCCCTAATGAAGAGTCCCTCCCCAGCATCCCTATAGGCCCCCTTCAGATACTGGAAGGCTGCTATGAGGTCTCCACGCAGCCTTCTCCAGGCTGAACAGCCCCAACTTTCTCAGCCTATCTTCATACAGGAGGTGCTCCAGTCTCCGATCATCCTTGTGGCCTCCTCTGGACTTGTTCCAACAGATCCATGTCCTTTTTATGTTGAGGACACCAGAACTGCACACAATACTCCAAGTGAGGTCTCACAAGAGCAGAATAAAGGGGCAGGATCACCTCGTTTGACCTCCTGGTCACACTCCTTTTGATGCAGCCCAGGATACGGTTGGCTTTCTGGGCTGCAAGCGCACACTGAAGCCAACTCATGTTCATTTTCTCATTGACCAACACCCCCAAGTCCTTCTCCACAGGGCTGCTCTGAATCTCTTCTCTGCCCTGCCTGTAGCTGTGCCTGGGATTGCTCCGACCCAGGTGTAGGACCTTGCACTTGGCATGGTTAAACTTCATGATGTTGGCATCAGCGCACCTCACAAGCGTGTCAGGGTCCCTCTGGATGGCATTCCTTCCCTCCAGCTTATCAACCGAACCACACAGCTTGGTGTCATCGGCAAAGTTGCTGAGGGCGCACTCAATCCCACTGTCCATGTCAGCAAGAAAGATGTTAAACAAGACCGGTCCCAACACCGATCCCTGAGGGACACCACTCGTTACTGGTCTCCAGCTGGACATTGAGCCATTGACCACAACTCTTTGTGTGCAGCCATCCAGCCAGTTCTTTATCCACCGAGTGGTCCATCCATCAAATTGATGTCTCTCCAATTTAGAGACAAGGATGTCGTGTGGGACAGTGTCGAACGCTTTACACAAGTCCAGGTAGATGACATCAGCTGCTCTACCTTTGTCCATCAGTTCTGTAGCCCCATCATAGAAGGCCACCAAATTGGTCAGGCAGGATTTCCCCTTACTGAAGCCATGCTGGCTGTCACCAAGCACCTTGTTGTTTTTCATGTGCCTTAGCATGCCTTCCAGGAGAATCTGCTCCAAGATTTTGCCAGGCCCAGAGGTGAGACTGACTGGTCTGTAATTCCTCGGGTCATCCGTTTTCCCCTTCTTGAAAATGGGGGTTATATTTCCCTTTTTCCAGTTGTCGGGAACTTCACCTGACTGCCATGATTTCTCAAATATGATGGCCAGCAGCTTAGCAACTTCATTTGCCAGCTCCTTCAGGACCCGCAGATGGATTTCATCAGGACCCATGGACGATGGTCTCGAACCAGATCCTCTCCTACAGTGGGCTTAGGGTCTTCATTCTCACAGTCCCTGTGTCTGCCTTCCAGGAGTTGGGTGGTGCGCTCAGAGCCTTTGCCAGTGAAGACTGAGGCAAAGAAGTCATTCAGAATCTCAGCCTTCTCCAAATTCAGGGTAGCCAGTTCACCTGACAGCTTCCTGAGGGGGCCTACGTTGTCTCTAGTCTGTCTTTTATTCTGTACATACATATAGAATCCCTTCCTGTTATCCTTAACATTCCTAGCCAAGTTTAATTCTAACTGGACCTTAGCTTCTCTAGCTTCCTGGACAACATCCCTGTACCCTTCCCAGGCCGCCTGTCCTTGCTTTCACCTTTTATAAGCCTTTTCTTTTCCTTGAAGTTTCCTCAGCAGCTCCTTATCCATCCAAGGAGGTCTCCTGGCCTTCCTGCTGCACTTCCTTCTAGTTGGGATGCAACACTCCTAAGCTTGTAGCAGGTGATCCTTGAAGACCAACCAAGAGTCTTGGGCCCCCCTGCCCTCTAGGGGTATATTCCCTGGAACCTTACTAAGCAGGTTCCTGAAGAGGCCAAAGTCTGCTCTCCTGCAGTCCAGGGCAGTGAGCTTGCTGCACGGTCTTCTCACTGTCCTGAGGATCTCAAATTTGACCATCTTGTGATCACTGCATCCAAGGCTGCCCTGCAGTGCCACATTTCCAACGAGCCCTTCCCTGTTGGTGAGCACAAGGTCAAGCATGGCACCTCTCCTTTTCGGCTCTTCTAGTACTTGCAGAAGGAAGTTGTCTTCCACACAGTCGAGGAACCTTCTGGATTGCTTGTGCCGGGCCGTACCATCATTCCAACAGACGTCAGGGTGGTTGAAGTCCCCCATGAGAACAGGGGCCTGTGAGCGTGAGGCTGTTCCTATCTGTCTGTAGGGTGCTTCATCCACAGAGTCCTCTTGATCTGTAACAGATCCTCTTGTATGTAACAGATCCCCACAATAATGTCTCCCATCGCTGTTTTCCCTTTAAACCTGACCCACAAACTCTCTGTTAACTGCTCACCTGTCCCCAGACAGGGTTCCGTACTTTCCAGCCTATCCCTAACATAAAGGGCAACTCCCCCTCCGCGCCTGCCAGGCCTGTCTTTTCTAAAGAGTCTGTAACCTTCCATTCCAGCACTCCAGTCATAGGAGCCATCCCACAGTGATTCTGTGATGCCTGTTGTATCATACCCCCGTAGACGTGCACACATCTCTAATTCCTCTTGTTTGTTTCCCATGCTATGGGCATTTGTATAAAGGCATCTGAGCCGAGCTCCAAATGAAGCCGGCTCATTGCCTGGAGCAGCCGGAGTATCTCTACATTGCTCCGAGCATTCATTATAGGTGCTGGCAACTGATTGGGTGTGTTGGGATGGAATGTTGCCCCCCGCCCCCAACACATCTAGTTTAAAGCCTCCTTGACCAGTCTGGCAAGCCTCCTACCAAAACCACTCCTCATCATACCAGATCCACCAGCCCCCAGTGGACCTGGCCCACTAACGTGGGTCCTGTGTTCAAGACACCCAAACCCCTGACTATGACACCACCCTTCTAACCATTTATTAACCTGACCAATCCTCCCAGCCTTTTTGAGGTCCTCCCCTGTATCCTGGAGAGCTGACTAAAAGACAGTCTGAGCTCCAGACCCCCTAAGCACCTCTCCCAGGGCTCTGTAGTCCTTCTTTATGTTCTCCAGGCTACTGCTACCTAAATATCTACTGCTATCTGGTTGGGCCAGTTACTCAATCTGCTTCTGTTGTTTCTGCCACGCAGGGTGACTATGACCCCAGCAAAACCAAAGTTATTCATTTCAGCATGAATCCAGCAAGCTTGGCCATGCAGCAGCGCAAGGAGGAGCACCAGCAGCTCCAGGAGGCATATGAAAGGCTGAAGGAGACGGTGAGGGTGCTTGAAGAAGGTGGTTCCATCCCTGAGAATCTGGAAGGACTTGGGAGTTTACAGTCATCACAAGAAATTGCAGGTAGGCTGCTGGCTTCTGGTTGTGAAGATGCACTTATTCATGCATACTGCCAAAGGAGCTGTCTGCAAAAGCAGATGGAGACATTGCAGACAGTGTGCTTGATGGAACAGTTATAAGGGAAATGAATAAATACTGGGTTGATGCAGGAGAGAGTAAATGTGGTGGCAATCCTGTGGCAGTTTGCTATAGAGGGTAGGTGGTAAGGATAAATAATGATAATTCATATCATTTGCTCATGATAAATGAAATGCCAGTGCAACAGCCTTCATAGCCTGGTCCTGCTGATGGAGTAAAGGGAAATATTGCCTTCCTTTCAGGGCTGGTTTAGCCTTTGAGGTAGTACAGACAGCAGGAAATAACTTTCATAGCTGCAGGGAAGCAAGTGGTTGAACTCTTTTCAGACCTGGCTTAAAACAAATTAATATTGTTTATCAGTGTATATGTGCCCCATTAATCACAGCTACATTCAATACTCCATGAAAGTAGAGTACATCTTTCACTGAGCTAAATACATGGCACAGAATCTGTGGCTCTCCTCCAGTATATTCTGTCTTCCCTTCACATACCTGAATGAGACTTTTTACCCCAAAGTCAGCACCTCCAGACATGCTCTCAGACTCTGTAAATCAAGGTAAGGATATCAAGAGAACGTGACCCATCACCCCTCTGTGCGGGGACCAGGCAGACTTGAGTCATGCTGCAGAGCCCAAGAGATCTTCCTGCTGTGACTCTTCCACATGTACCTTGCCCTCAAAACGGTTTTGTTAGAAAAGATTAAAAATAAAGAGAGCCAAATGTCTGTGTGGAGCTAACCTGTGCTGTTTCTGCAGCATGTACACAGTCAGTGGCCAGAGGTCAGGATCCTCCTCTGATGGGGCCAGGAGGGCAGAGCTCCACTCAAAGGAGACTTGGGATCCACAAAAGGCAGAGCCCTGGTTTAAGGAATATACACAGAAGAAGGTATCTTTCACTGTTACAACATCAAAATTCTCTGCAAGTAGCTTGCCTTACCCATTGCTCAAACAATGGTACTTTATTACTGCTAAGGATGGGTTTGTTCCAGCATCTCTCAGTGGATTATGGTGCTATATAGCCTTAAAATACTATGGTGAGAAGTGTAGATGGGGTGGTTTATAAAGTGAAGAGCTGTTTGGATGTTAGAGGTGTGATGACAGTTTGTCACTGTTGTTAGTGGATGCTCTAACAAGTGCATAAGCATTAAGCACTTCACATACATGTAAGGAAGACTGTCCATAGGAGCTTCCAGTCTGAGACCCCACGGAGACTGGAGCAGTTCTTGGGGGAGGTTCTTGCATTGCAAGTTGAATTTGACATGCACTGCTTTTTAAATTACAGCAGATGCTGCTGCCTAATGCCCTTGTCTGTTGTTATGCCCTGAAGTACCTGGCACTTCTAATGAACGCTGCAGATCCACAGGGCTGACAGTGCCCCTCGAGCTCAGGGTCAGGGAGGAGAGCGCTGGTCAGGGAGGATGCAGAGGTGAAGTCAGCTCTGTGTCTCTGCTGCTGAGGAATGAACCTCTGGGGTATCATCCACAGTAATTAGAGCATTTCATCTGGGGGAATGCATTTCTCACGTGTGCCTCCTGTGATTTGTTATTCAGAATTATTATTCTGCTGCCTTTCACGCAGTTGCTTTTAGTTGTTTGTGAGGTGCTGCTGTGCTGGGATGTTACCAGGTTTCTCATTAGCTCATAAGGGATGCATTTTTAAAGCTGTTTTCTCTTCTGCCTTTGATTCTGACAGGAAAACAAACAGCTCACTGAGTTCCAGGGTGTTCTATCCTCTCATATATGTGATGCTGTTCGTTTCCTTTTGCCCCAGTCCCATGCTACATCATTCTGACCTCTGGTCACTGACTCGAATGGGAGAGATCAGCTGCAGAGCCTAGTGGAGTGGGAAATGCTTCAGTGTCATTTATCAAAGTCACAGGAGGGCACTTTACATTCTTGGAGTGCCTGTGAGTGCATATGGAAGTGATTCATGTAAACAAAACAGGAAAAAGAGCTGGGAGTGAAGCGTGGATGAGCCCTACGAGCCCTTTGAGACCAGGGCATATGTATAGTAGGGACCAGGGCATATGTATAGTAAGCCAGGCTATATGGAAAGATTTTGAGGTTTTTTCTTGTATTTTGTGTACTTTTGTACATCACTGTCATGCACAGGGAACATTGCCATAAACAGTCTTAAACCCTCCTTTCTGCTGGGGGAGCGTTCATCAGTATGGTCGGAGGATGAAGACCATGTATATCAGGGTGTGCAGGATGCTGAGGACATTATGGCACTGACTGCAAGGTTAACAGTGTTGAATTAGCCAGACGAAAGCCAGATGTGCTGGGCAGGGCAGAGCTCCTGGTGTGTTAGGGGAGAGCTCATCAAGTGTACCATGCAAGCTGCATCTGTTTTTGCATTGACTCTATCCTGCTTAACTCATGCAGCATCTGCAGTGTGGATGCCACAGCTGTTCCTGTGGTTTAAGACCATGGATTTGCATGGCCAGAAAAATTCCACTGTCTTCTCCCTCTGGATAAGAAATGGAAGATCCAGCTTTCACTGTTTTCTTAGGATCTCAACAGCTCTGCCCACAGGAATGGCTGCCATATGCTTTCCATTTTAGTGTATTTCCAAGGTGTGAAGTGGGGAGCATGTGGCAGAAACTCCCTCTACTCTGTTTGTCACTGTGCAATTGACTGCCTTGGGGAGGCAGGTTTATTGTGTATAATGAGGGAGCAGGTTCCAGTGAGGTTTGTGGAGCTGTTTCTGTGCAAAAATAACAAGAATTGGAATTTTTCTTGCACCCCTTTCTGTCAGCTGCAATACCCATATGTCTGTTTATCCATTTCATTTGTATGACACATGCAAGAGGCAAATTCAGTTCCCTGAGCTTCTGAGATGGGAGGTCTCTTGTGTCAGAGTGGAATAGGATGAAGGGGGGCTGAGGGCACAGTAGGAAGAGTATGGATAAAAGCTGGGAAGACAACAAAGGTCATATGTAAGTTTGCATTTTGCCTTTTGACTATAAAGGTAAATGTAAGCTTTTACTGTCCTATTTTGCCATATAGCCTGAAGGGCTTTTTGGCAGAGGTGAGGGATTTGGGTGGCCTCTAGCCAGTCAGGTTTGCTGTGTTCAAGAAGCTTATGTGATCTGCAGCAATGATGCTTAAGGTTCAGAGAATTAGACCAACCAAAGAAAAGCATTAAGGACAATGATGTTGATGGTTTTGATACTGATGTGTTGGCCAGCGTTAAATTCATTGGACTGGAATGCAGCATGTTTTTTCTGATCATGGTTCAGACTCCTGGATAGGTAACAGGGAAATTATTACTGTGGACGTTAAAGCTCATTAAATGTGACTCTATTAAAAATCAAGGTTATGCTGGACTTTAAATCTCTTTGAGCATAACCGCTGGCGGCTGCAGCACATCCTGGCAACGTGCCACATAATTCAGTGGTCCTTTCCTCTCACTGATGCTGTAATAGTCTCTGTTAAAGCAGGTACCAGGGTTATTGCAGAGCAGAGGTTTGAATGATGTGAGCTGTAACAACATGCCCTCCTTTTGCCAAGCAGAAACTTGCACATGGGGTTTTGTGGTGTTGATGGGGCAGATTTGTGGCAGCCTCAGTACAGGAATGGGCTGTGGCTTCATCAGTGCTTTGTGCCTCTCCCTGTGGCTGCCCAGGTCTGGGTTGTGTATGAGCAGGGTGCTCTAAAGTCAGGCTGCCATCTGTGGAGAGCCTCCGAGTCTCTGGAACAGGGACACAGATTGTAACAGCTTTGGAAAGGTATCACTGCCCAGATTGGGAATCTGTTCCAGTTCTGCATTTCTCTTCCCTGTACTCTTCACATACACACCACCACTCTCCCTCCTCTGTATTCAGGCTGCATCTTGTGCTTTTTCCCTTCCAGCTCCGTAGCTTTTCCAGGTTTTCTCTGTTTCTCTCCAGGCCATTTCTGTTTACATCTCCCGTTCTTGTCTTGTATGGTCCTTGTAGACCTCTAGATTTTTCTTTTCTGGCACTGCTAGAGATGGAGTTCAGTCTTAGTTGCAAGCAAATAGGTAGGTGACAGCTCATAGGGAGCTGACAGAAGTAATGATGTGTGTATTGTGGCTAAGCGTAGGTAGAAATGAGAATGCTTCAGGTGATGATTATTTCCATTTGTCTTCTCATCTTAAATATAGTGTATTTGAAGAGAGGAACGGGTGACCCATGGAAGCTGGTTCCTGACTAAAGAACTCTAATGCAGATTCCATGAGCTCTCATGATTTATTGCTATCCCATAGGCACAGTGGAGCGTTCCCTTCTTTCAGGCAGCCTCTCCCCATGAGCAAGAGGAAAAGTGCTTTTAATATTCTTTCTGTTGGGAGACAGGCTGGCACCCCTACCAGGGAGGAAGATGGGGAAATCAACGCTGATTTCAACCATCTGTGGAGAAATTTTGGAAGTGAACTATTTCCCTGAACGTAATCCCACCAAAAAGGAAAACTATTGATCCATCTCAGTGTGTTCTTTTTCCCTTGTTAGGGCCAAGTAGGAAAAGGGGGTCCTTGCTGAAGGTCTGGGGAATCTCGTTGTAGGGCAGGTGTTTGACCCCAACAGGGATGCTACGTCTGGTCAGCAGAGGCTGTCTCCAGCATCGCTGCCATGTCAGGGCCTTGTAAAAATGTAATTAATTGGAATTAAATGGGGTAATGAATTAATATTAAAATAATATAATCTTGTTGGAATGACAAGGCAGAGATGGTAAAATTTGTCACTGTCCTGGTATGCTTGTGCTTCTGGTGAATGTGTTTCTGAGTACAGAAGGCGACAAAAAAGGAGCAGATGGAGTTTAGAAGTTGCTGTTCTCCATCCACAGTTGGCTGAGCTGTTGGTGCTTGGAAGCCTTGGTGCTTCCTACCATCTGTGTATAGGAAATCCACACATGATGAGGGCTGCACCTGCAAACAGAACCTCAGTCCACCTGATGAAGGATTTTTGTGTGACCTTAGTTGCTGGTAGATGCACTCATGGAAGCACAGCATCCGTCTCTCACCTTATGCCCGTGACTCCCAGCATCTTCCTGGTCAAACAAGGTTGGGCCAGGTGAATGCGTAGAGGGCAGCTCTTCTTCAGTCATGTAATGCCTCCTCCTAAAGCATGGGAAGGATTCATTAGGTGACACTTCTTTCCATGATGTTTAATGTGCCAAGTCTCCTGCAGTTTGTCTAAAGGAATTGCCATCCTTCTGAAGAGGCACAGAGTGAAGGATGAGGGAATTTGCTGCCTTCAAATGTTAAGGGACGTTTGGTAAGAACAGGATGTTGGCCTTTGTGCCCTGGCTGATTTCAATAAAGTAATTGCTTTCTGCATATCCCAATTTCCTCTGAAGTTTATAAGAGCTTGTCTTTGCCTCTGGTGTTTCGCTGTGCACTGATGAAGTTCTGTCCTCTCTCACTCCAGTGCTGGCCACATGTTCTTGATGGGGGACGAAATCATTCCTTACTGCTACCTGGATCAGAAATGTTGAATAGGTTTAATGTGCAAAGCACAAAGGGTATGGAAAATAGCACACAGCATGAGGGTTATTTAGCACCAGTCCTCAGGAGCTGCTTTACCTGAGCTGCTGGGAGCCTGCCTGCCTTCCCGTGCTGACTCTGCAGCTGAAGAGCAGAGCCTCCCTGGGGCAATGCCTCACCTCCCTGCTAGTTATCATTATTGGCTTTATGCTGCTAGTTTCTCTACTGCAAGACATTTAGACCAGTCTGGGACCCAGTATATTAAGACTGGGAATAAGCTGGTAGTTTAAATAGAGCTTACTCTCATTTCCTTCCTTATCATCCATATCCCTTTGTCCCAGCCCAGCGCTGCAAGGTGGGGTTACTAAATAAACCAGTTTTCCTAAAAGGCT